CCATATAACCAACTTCATCAGGGCTGTAGGAGATGAGAGTTGTCACCGCGGTCTATTTGTATTTATAGGCCTAATATGTGGCGAGCTGAGTGGATTTACACCCTCTGCTTCCCTCTGCCTTCCATTTCGGCAGGAGGCAGCAGCAGCATCACCGTCTCCCTGGCGACGTCCGTCATCTTGTGACAGCTCTCTCGCCCCTTTGGAGGTTCTGTAGTAGGCTATAGCCTATACGAACAGATTTGGCTATGACGGCTTTTGCGCCCGGCCCGCGCCATCATTCCCACATGGATGGGGATGTTAAAGAAAAGCATGTGAATGAATAAATGATGCCTCCCCTCCCGCAAAAAAAAAAAAAAAAAAAGATGGGACTGGCAAAGGGGATGGCTCTTTAAAAATGCATCCTTTTTTTTCAAACGCCTCTGCCCCACTTAAGAGCATCATGTTAAGGAAAAATACTCTTCGATTACGATGACACAAAGGGGATGCTTTCTTGGAGGAAAGCGCGCACAATGGGGTGATTATTTTAAAGACACAGACTGAGAAACGCAAACGTGGATTTATGACGCCGTCCGAAAATAAATAACAACTTGTGTGTTGGGAAAACAATCCCAGTTCCGGTTAAAAAAAAAAAAACAAACCCGACGGGCGTCAGACGCAAATAAGAGCGATGGCGATTAGACAAAACTGCCCATTACGCACCGGTTTAACATGCACAGGTAATAACAGTCTAATAATAATGAAGGACTTATTGAGCTTTGCGTGGCCCTATCGGCCATTGGAGGGACGACACGTTACCTTTGTGCATGCCGGTGTATCGGTCCTTGAGAACTGTCAGTTCGTGGATTTTCCCAAACTGTTCGAACAGGGGCTTCAGGTCTTTCTCCTCCAAGTTCCGCGGTATCTGCCCGATAAACAGCTTGATGGCATCTTGGTCTTTCATGTTGCCGCTCTCCGGATGAATGGAAATGGGTTCTGAGCCGTTCATGGGCTTGGGGAGTGTGAAGTGCGGGTACTGGTGCTGATGGGGGATCAGGAGAAGTGGCTGCTGGGTCGGTGGCGCCCCCGGTCCCGTGAAAACCAGGCTGGAGTAGGCGGGCTGGGGATGCTGCTGCTGCTGCTGCTGCCTTCTTGTTTCAGTCTGAGTGAATCTGGCCATTCTGAGCATGGGAGCAGAGTGGATAATAATGACAACACACACGCGCGCACACACACACACACTCACACACGCACACACACGCTGTGTGAGAGAGCAAGCACTCAGCTGGAAACCAGGCTGACTTTCTACCCGACACACACAACGCACACGCACACACAGTGGCAGAGCAGGATGGAGGGGGGGGGGGGGGGGGGGGGGGGGGGGGGGGGGGGTGGATTGTGGAGGAATAGGAGCACAAAGGCGGTTTGAGACACTCTGGAGTGACACCCAGTGGTGCGTTCGAGGAACGTCGATTTGGAGCTGTGGCATCCCATTTCTACTGTAAAACACCTTCAGATCCCACATTTCTTTTATTCTAAAGTTGTGGAACAGCCTACTGAAAGTTTCAGGCTGATGGATAGCACTCCACTCCAGAGACGGCTCCTTTTCAATCTAAGGTGTGTTTGTAGAAGCCTGTTTCTGAGCACTGTTCATATTTCCCCTCCATGACATGTCAGGATTTAAACCTTAAAATTCAAATATTTGTCAGAGCTCGTGTCCTTTTTGCTCACAGAGCTCTGTGAAATGAGCAGAGGAAGACCAGGCCGGGCTGTTTATACACAGACAAAAGGTCAGCTTTTTCCACCATGCCACGTGCACTACGGCTGGTTTGGAATTATAATTCAGACGTTCACATTTCAGCTTGTGCAGAATATGAAACATTGGCTTACTTTTCCTTAAAGTTATACTTATAGTAGCATAATTACACTCCAGACAGAGATGAGACAGATTTATAATGTTCATTCTTAATGCATGTTCGGGTGTTAGAATAAATTCTCCAATCACCACTTTTTTGCCAAATTAACGAGACGATAATATGAGGATGATGATGTTTCAAATAAAAAAAATCACGAGTGGGTGTTTTGAAACTTGCAAATCATTCAAATGTACAATATTTTGCATAACTATGACTAAAATCATTACAAATTGACACATACCTGGTGATTTAATTAGTAGAACAGTAACTCATATCATATATCTAAAGGCAAAAGTCTTTGGTCAGTAAAAGGAAAAGGGAGTGAGGTAGATTTTATTTACTGAAAAGAAATATTATTGCGACATTTTGCTTGATTGTAGTTTGATTGAAAGCTTCATGGTGGATAGATGAATGTATTAAAGCATCTTGGAGACAGTTGCTTCAACAACAAGACAACAACCCTGAGCACAAATCTTATTCCATCCAAAAACATCAAAGGAGGATAAAAATCAATTTATCAAACCGGGTACCTTAATCCAACTGATAAATATTTACTAGAGATGTTCAAAGCAAAGCGAGCTTACCAAATGTTGTTCTGAAACAGAATATTGGCATTTCTGAAGGGTTCACAAACTTCTGAACCACAAATAAACTTCTCTGGCTTCAGAGTTTTTTACCTTTATGTCTATTTGAAGGAACCATAGTTCACTTCCTGGAAATATGGCCATAAAGCTTCAGTGTTAACTGGCTCAACACCTAGTGAAAATAAATCCTCCAGATGCTGAGTTGACCTCCAGATGTGCTTATCGTAATGAAATAAGATTTCACCACCTAAAACGTTTTTTTAATGGGGTCTTTTGTTTCTCACATATGATTTCCTGCTATAAAAAGTCCAAACTTCTGCTGTGAAAAAGGTCCATTGATCTTCAGGTTGCATCCAGGAGACAAACATTAACCACAATCAGGGCAGTTATAGTGAATACTGTCCTGCTAGCATGAGGGCTAATCCCCCATGAGGGAAATCGTTTGCATCATTTGCCTTCCGCTTCCAGATGGTGTAAAAACACACAGACTAACCCTTTAAAGCCTGATCCAAGAATAAAACAAAAGAGAAAATTATTTTTTTTTGTTTGAAGTCCTTATTTGGCCTTTTAACAAAATATGTCAAAAGAAAAAACAGAAATACATTTTTGATATTAATAATTTATTACTATGCGATAAGTCAAGATTATTTTTTTGTGTAGTCTTCTGCCCCCTGTTATCAGGTGTATCTGATTGTGTACAATAAGATTTTGAGCAAAGTTTTTACCATTAAATTATGCAAAAGGTGTCAGACGCAAAACACTTCAGAAACCGTACGTATCAAATTCGATACATTTGGCATTACAGGGTTAAAATCCATCGTAAAGAATCTAACACTGGAATCATCGCTGAAATTCTCTCTTGAAATCAAAAAGCACAACGACGTAGGCAGACGGCCAAACCGGACCCGAAGCCACCCTTTAGATAAAAGACATCTGCGGGACGGCTTTTCTAATTACGGCCTATTTAACAGTGGATTAAATGAAGTGATATACAGTCTGTGACAGCAGGCTCAGGGCTGCGAGGTGGATCGATAGTGCTGCCTGCTAACTCCTCTCTCACTGAGGAGCAGCGGCACCGCGGGGGGGCCCTTTTAGAACTTCTGCTTCCCAATATCTGCACCGCCCCGTGAGGGAATTGCCCTCAGCTGCCCCCATCACTCCGAGTTGGGCCTACACCTCCAGAGCAAGGGAGGCCTTAACTTCCAAGTGGCCTCCGCAAAAGTTTAGGCCCGAGAAGTTAAAAAAGCTAAAAAAAACAGACCGCCGCTCTCTCCTCTTTTTTGAGGGAAAGCGGGGATCATTTCGGCTCTATTGAACTCGGCCCGTAGCGTTTATTTTCGCAGGCTCAATAAAGGGGAAAGTGTGGAGAGAGAAAAAAGGCAGGATGCACATTGACATTGCCGGTCGATAAAGCAGCGGGTGGCGGCCGCACAGACACGAGGCGTTTTTTATTTTATTGTAAATGTGTTTCTTTTTTGAAATGCGAATTTAATTCTTCAAAGCAGCGGCGGGTCCCAGAATGCCACGCCGGAAATTCTGTTTGTTTTCAAAGTCCGGGTGTTATTTTGTTGCTCCGCTCATCGCGCTATGAATGGTATTGATTAAAAGAGGCAGGGTTCTCATCGAATGTGGCCGGCTATCTGAATGGACGCTGGCAGGAACACGAAGGGTCGAAGTATTTGGCGGAGGTTTGGCGGCCGAATTCTGAAGGGAGGAAACAAACAGGGCCCCGGTCACGCCACTAGCTCAGCAACCTCCCGGGGAGGTCCAGGGGCTATTTTTAGGGACGTGGTCAGTGCAGAGGGGGGGGGGAGGGGGGATTGAGAACTTCCACTTCATGGATTTTCATTGACCAAAGCCATTAGTGTTTCGCCAAGCTGAGGCCCGAGACAAGAAATCAATAAAGGTCACACTATTAGCGCAGGCTCAAAAGTTACGTACGATTTAACTCGCTGGCGTTTATTCGGCCGCTTGTTAGCGGGTCTGGACCCCGGGGGGGGAAGGAGGTCTGTCCGACTTGGGGAGTCTTCGGGGGTCCTGAGGGAGACGGAGGCAGCTAAGGGGGGAAAAACGAGCATTTTCTGAGCTGCTGTAGACATTAAGTCCACACACACACACACAAAAACACGTCGTAGTTATCTGAATTCAGCTTTGCGCTCCACAACCAGGTGACAAAACACACAATAACCAGGACGACTTAGTGCATATGCACAAGTTTTAGATGGCACACGAGGGGAAAGCTCCTGTCAGTTTTCAGAACAGAGCCAGTGTTCCCGGGTTGGCGAGCGGTTAGAGATAGCGGCGTCCCCCGGTGGCTAATTCACCACCGCTCTCTGGTTGTGCGTTAAAAAAGCGTGCCCGTTGGACTGTGAGGTGTTGTTCAGGAAGATCGGGGTGTGACGCCATGATGGCGCGTCCCGGCGGGGGCCGTTTCACGCACCAGCGACCCGCCCGACTGATGAGAAGTGATAAGAAGAGGCTGAAACGTCGGGTTTTCACTCTCATACCTGGATGTAAAGTGGAGTAAAACTCTTAATATTGATTGTTTTCTGCAGAAAAGTGACGACTCAACGTGTGTCTCCTGACGTCCAATCGGCTGCAGGCACTGACACGGTTCCTGTCACGCATTATGTTTTTTTGGATTTAGGGTCCCTCAACTTTGTTGGGTAGCTAAAGTGAAATCCCACCAAAACAAGGATTTGTTTCATTTGGAAAAAGAAGAAACAATTGTCATGACCATGAGTTCCGATATAAAACATTTCAGAGAAATCGTGGAGATCGATGGGGTCTATGCAAGATTTCACTCAGCTCCAACGGGTGATGAAGTCAGACGGAAATAGGTCTAATACAGAAGGGAATGGCTTCTTTTATATTATTGACACGGTTTCATTTTACCACAGATAAAAGCAGGTTAACCAGCAGGTGCACTTTACACACCAGAGCCAACAACAAAATAGGTTCCATTTGATTTGCCCCTGAATAAAACTGAATTCATGGGGGCGAACATTCATAAGAAACAATTTCCTAAACTTTCAGCCACATTTCCCTGATGTTTGCGACAAATAAAAAGAGACATGTCTTCATTTTTATCCCTGACATGTATGTATGATGACTACTGGTGCAAACATTTTTGGTGAACCTCCAGTAGCTCACGCTGTATTGCCTCGTGGAGAATGAATAAACTGGAAGATTTTGCCATGGTCAGCGCTTGAAAGACCATTATATGGTGTTTGTTGCACTAAGTAGGAGAAAAATCATACATGTCTTTGGAAAACCAGAAGAAGTAGCTGTCATTTAACACTAATTTTTTTCCTGTTATTCTTATTTTTCTTATTTCATTAACCAGAAAATCCCCACTTCCTGTTTGTAGTTTATCTTTTAGTTTATTCGCAAAGAATTTTGTTTTATTTCAATTGGAAACACATCCTTCTATTCGTTTTCTGTACAAACCTAGTCAGGTTTGAGGCCTCTGAGGGCTGGAGCCTCAGATGAGATGTTCCCAAAGTGCG